GGTAGTTTGCTTTTTTTTTTTTTTATTTGAAGACAGTTCACTAGAATGGAAGTTTATTTAGTGCTTTATTTAGTACCATAAAGTCAGGGAGTACATGCAAAATTTCAAAACACAGAGTGATCAATTCCTGTCTAATATACCTAATCTTAATGAGAAAATAATCCAATAAAAAGGATAGTATTTCTAAGTACTGTGAAAATTTCCAGTTGTCATCCTTTGGCACCAGACTGTGTTGCTGCACTGGCCTCTATTATTGCTAAAGTAACTGAAATTCTTGTGTCTTACTGTATTCTAGTAAGTTGAAGAGTAAAATCTTTATGGACTTGACTAAGCATGAGCCATCAAGCACAATGCTTTTATCTCTGAGTTCCAGAATTAGGCTATTAGCAAAGTTGCTTTGCTTTGGTTCCACTCTTTCTAGCCAAATATGAAGGCTCAAATTAGAGACGGAAATGAAAAGTGTGATTCTGGATGAAGTTCATTGAAGAGCCAAATGAAGCTCAAGGAAATGCACAAAGCTGTGTTGTATGTGTACAAGAATACTGTACTGTGAATTAGTGCACAACATTGCAGGATTTTTCCTTATAACCTGGAACCTGTGCCTCCTGACATCTGACCTCAAAGTTTAACTGCTGTATACACTATGTAATATAGCTGGATAAGCAAAAAAAATATATTCTGGTGCCAAGACAGCCTGTAAAATAAATAAACAAGATAGATGCCTCAACTGTCCCCAGGGACAGAGCTGATGGGGTGCTGGTTTTTATGGTTTTTTTGGGGTGGACCTGGTTTCATGGCAGTAATGTCTTTGGACAGAGAGATACTCTTTAATCCAGTGTAGGTCAGTTTTAAGCTACCAGATCCCATATTGGTGTATTTAACTGATCCAACCCACTCGCTTAATTTTAAAGGTGTATCTATTTCTATTCCAGTAGCTGGGTCTGAATACACAGGGGGTCCTGGTTATCTACTTGCACCTTCCAGTAAGATTGCCAGTAGCTGCTTTATCTTCTGTTTGCATAGGTTTTTCTACTGTCTTACCAAAGACACTCTAAACCTTATCAAATTAGTCATTCTTCTCTGTGTTTTTCTCAACTGAGTTTTTTTCAGACTTTCACTTATTGGTCAAAATAGTATTCTTTTAAGTAAAATGATCTATATTTGGCTAAAATCAAAAAGAGAGGAGCATTTCCTTCCTTCCTTCCTTCCTTCCTTCCTTCCTTCCTTCCTTCCTTCCTTCCTTCCTTCCTTCCTTCTCTTTCCTTCTCTTCTTCTTTGTTTTTCCTTCTTTCCTTCCTTTTTTTTTTTTTTAAATAAAATTAAATTAAATCCTGTGCCAATTCACTGGGATTTTTAAACTTTTTTGGAGCCACAGGAATCACAGATGAAAGGAAGATGACAGCTGAAGATAGGATTTTTATTTGCTAGCTTACAGACCTCTAATTCTGAATATCTTTTTTTCTACCAAAACACAGTTTTGTTCTATCTATCTCAACTGAACATTAGAGTTTTATCAGCCATTTTTCTCTCTGAGATCAGAACAACTCACCTGTGTCCAACTAACATAAAAGTGTAATAATGAAAACATATTAGAATTCCTTGATAATGGTACACCTGTTACACTTTAAAAAACTTTGGTCTGGAACACTATGTTCTAGATCACTTCTATTTTCTTCCAAGTTCAGTTTCTGTTCCCACTATGAATAATGTGAAAATTGTCACAGATTTTGATGGAAGCTGGCAGAGACCATGCCCATGTGATAATTAAAGGAATTTCTATCAGTGAGAAATGCTTTGAATTTTTTCTTTCTTGCTTTAAGTGTAAACGTTTCATACAATGCTTGTACATTTTCCTGGCTGCAGACCTTTCATGTTGTAAGAAGGTAGTCAAGTAGAGAAAGGTGGCATAAAAATGGGTTTCGCATATCAAGTTTTAAATTATAACTGTTGTTGTGGTTTTGGGTGGATTGGCCAACCAGAATAACAGATGGCCCCTCCCTCCCCACTCTTCAGAGAGGAGAGGAAGCGATAAAGAGATTTATGAGTTTAAAAAAAGAACTAAACTACTTTAATGAAAATATTAATAAATAATGTAATAATAAATAACAATAAGAAGAAAATAATTTTCAAAAAAGGAAAAAAAAGTATACCGTATATACAAAACGGTATCAAGTTCCCAGGATGTCGATCACATCAGCAGCAGGTGCAGGGGAAAGTCCCAGGCCGGACTCGGTGATGGACAGGAGCCAGATTCTGGATCTGGAGTCAGGAAGGCAGACAAACAGACAGGGTCCTCCTCAGACACTGGCCATTGAAGAAAGAGAGCTGACCCTTTGATCCCTCAGCTTTTATACTGAGTGTGGTGCAGATGGGATGGAATACCCTGTTGGCCAGTTTCAGGTCACCTGTCCTGTCCACTCCTCCCTGCACATGTGACTCCTCTACTCTTTTCTGCTTCCAAACCTTCAAATGGGCAAATAATGAAGTTAGCTCACCTTGGTTGGTATAGCAATAAGGAAGGGCCTCTCTGCATACCGTTTCTTGGTATAATCAAGTCTAATCACTCTGAGAGCGAACAGTTTCTGAACAATATACTGTTAATTTCAGAGTTAGTTAGTTAGAAGAGGCCTAGCTAAAAAGTAAAATTACTGAACATCTGCTTTATCTCAGTCCAGGACAACTATACACTGTTTACAGAGGGTTGAAGGAAAACCGTGCTCTGAAAGTCATCAAGGGCAGATATGTTTTACAAACTCCAGCAGTTCTCATTTGCCTGGAAAGTATGATGACATATCTGTGAAGTAGTCGTGGGCCAGCAGCTGTGTAAATCCATATGTATATTGCGGTAAAGGTTTTTAAAATGGTTCTTCCATTTTCTAAATTATTCAGATGATTAGGTGTCCGTGAAAAGAGGCAGACCAAACTGCAAACAGTTTTCTTTCCTAGTTACACAAAATGTCAAGGATGAGTACGAACAACACATACTTGTCACAGCACCCTTCTTCAGCTCCATGGGAGAAGGAGTTCTGGTAGTAAAAAGGAAAGAGATTAATTAATTTTGCATGATGATTAAAAATTTCTGAGTTTCTGCAAGGCATTTAGAAATGTCTAGCAGATAATACCAGCATGGCACAGATGGGGTTTCTGTGGAAGGGCGGAAGAATGATCTCTTCATGGGCAGACTTGTATTCAAGTGACCGATTTAGAAATGTTTATAAAAATTCATAAAGGGGCTACCCTGAACTGATGGATAGGTACAAATATGATCAAGATAGATCAGATGGAGAAGATAAATACATCTGCAGCGTGGAGTGGAGGCTGACCTTTTGATTTTTGCAATAGCTTGCCACCTGCAGACTCAGAAATGTACACTGCTTAGGGCAAATGACTAACAGGAGTCTGAACTGGACCTGATACCTGTTTCCAAGATTTTGTGGATCAGGCATTATTGTTTGCAGATGTGACTTGCTACTGGCTGTTGCAAAAGAAGACATGTATTTACTATTGCTCTTTGGCACACCGACAACTGCAAGGTACCTCCACCTCAGAGCAAGAGTTAGTTCACAGTAGCACCAGCACCTGACCTCCAGGACCATGTGAGAAGGCTGTATCCTCACCATACTGGCAATCAGCTCTTACCACCTTGAAAAACTGAGAGGTAAAAGTATGTTAAAAAAATACCATTTTATTAGTAGAATAATAAATTGTTCTCCAAACAAAGATATTGCCTTGCCATGTTGGAGTAACATTGTTTTGTCTCCATAGTGTGCAAAGTGCACATGCATTAATATATGGTGACAGTGAACAAAGGGCAAAGTTCTGCTGCTGCTCCAACAATTCTGCAGAATGACTCATTATGTGATATATCATACATGTAGCTACTCTAATACATATGTAATTATAAAATTATTGATTCTTACATTAAGTTGCTCCTTACCGCTCTTCACAAAAGGCATAAATGGAACTGGGGGGCTTTGTTCACCCACACACCATTTGGAGGCTTATTTTAATGAAGACATAACGAAGCCGAACACTTTCTTGACAGAAGATAATGATAGCAAATGACAAAATTATTTTAAAGCTCAAGTCTCTTGGTAACACATTGAAATGGATGAGTGGGTGAACACTAATTTGGAGAACGTTGAGCAAGTTCGAGGAAATAGGTTAACTTAAGTACCCAAAGATCTGGAGGGTGAAGTGGAGAAAGGCATTCAGAATTATTGGCTATGCAGCTCTCAAAAATGAGTTACAGGCACATGATCTGGCCTTTCAGTTTATTTCAAGAACTTGAAAATGCTCGTTGCCCTTGACATTCTTTCTAGCCAGAGCTAAACAATCATTGCATTGCCAATTTGTCATCAGGAGCTTTATCACAATGATGTGCTTTAAAAACGAAGAATATACTTTTAAAAGGGTAAAATCTATTTTAGAAGGTAGAATCTCTCACTAGGTAAGAATAAAGAGCTGTAAAAAGGTAACGAAGCCCTGTGAAACCAGACAATTAGTTTAAACAATAAATGCCCTGCTAATGTGTATACCCTTGAAGAAGAACAGAACGCTGATAATAAGGAACATTCCACAACCAGCTGAAAACCAGACAATTACTGTATAAGGCATGAAGTCAACAAAAATTTGCAGTAACTAGGGGAAAGTTAAAGGTGGCAGTGGGAGACCTCGACCACCAACTCAATTGGAGACTGAACTGGACTACCCCTCGCCCCATGGTACTGAAGCATGCACACATCAGTTAAAGGACCTTGTAACTTTAAAAGAAAGTGAGAGACTGTAACCAAAAGAAATTGTTAAGAAAAGGTACTAACCAATAATTGTAGGTAAGGTTGTGTATTTCTGTGCTTTGAACCATATAAATATTCCTAAGAGTTTTTAGGCCAGGGTGCTAACTTTGTGGATTACTGCCTAGCACCCATTTCTGCATAAATGAAATAAATAGACAATACCTCTGCTCTGTGTATGTACTGGTGTCTGCACAATGTGTAAATGACCCCGCATTGGGACAATAAGAAGATTTGGGAGTATCAGCAGGCTGTGTCATAGCCTCAGCTGTTGTAGTTGCCTGCACGCATTAGGTTAAGATTCTAGCCCAAAAGAGTGTGAAGAAAATGTTGAAAAATGTAACAGTAATGCAATGTAAATGCTCTGAAGGCAAGCAGAACTCTTTCTTTATAATTTTTAAAAATCTCGTTTTGTTTAAGCCAGCCGCACCATTTTCTAGGGAATGACTCATGATTTTTTAACACATTTAGTTGTCATAGTTTAGTTGTCCTGTTCCATACACATCTGGGGAATTGTAGCTATTCTTGACAGTCTTATTTTGTAGATTGTAAAGTCTTTGTGATAGGGACATCACTTACATGTATTACAAAGTATTGCTTTTTTCTAACAAGAGTCCTCCTCCACAACTGGGTCTTGGGGCACTTTCATAACCTATGTTTAAAAATAATAGTAATAACAACAACAACAATAATAATAGCAATATCTAAATAATAATCAGGGGAAGGCCATTGGCAGTGGTCTCTATGCCCCGAATACCTTACCTATTCAGTATTATCAGAATAAGAAATTGGAGGGGAGGAGAGGAAACCCTAATTCCTGAAATTATTTTGCAGATATTATTTGTCTTTGAAAGGGATAACGTTATTTTCTGGCAGGCAGTTTGGGCTGCAGTACGGAGGAAAATATACAACTGGCATTGTTGTTGGGGTAGACAGGTACTGACTAATGGCAGAGGTCTGGAAATCAGAACACAGATGTGGATTTGGAGAAAAAATTGGAGAGCAGAAGAAAAATGCCAAATTCATCCAGGAATACTGGGATTGTAGCTTGTGCTAGCAAAATCTTGTTGCAATCCAGTGCACATATTTACTTTTGTAATCTCAGAAAATATATACCTGTAATGGCGCAATTGTAACTGACAGAAACTTAGGAGATTTGGGGAAAATTGTGCAATTAGCTTCTGACAATTAACTTCTGCAGCATAGTCATTACTATGCTTGTTGCTGGGGTTACTATGGATCTTCAAAATTTAGGATAAGTATATGTGGAGTGTAGGAAGTTGCACGGGAACTGTGCCATTGAGTCATATATATTTACATTTTTCAGAAAGACTGGGAAACCAAGTATGTCTAGAAGGATTAGTAAAACAGGGCAAAAGCTTAATGTGTTACCTGGCAGCTAGGGTCATACAGGAGTTGAAACCACCCTGTCTAATGGGGATACATGAGTGGAAAGCAAAGAGGTTGTTTTTCTTTTCTGTTGTTACTGGGGAAAAAGTATAGAGGGGGACTGAAGCAGATTTTTCCTTTGACATTTCCTTGTTAAAATGTTTTTTTGTGATCCTGTGTTTTCTGTTGAGGGATACAAATATTACACTTTCACTGCACACCATGGGGCTCCAGGATACAACTGTGACTCTGGAACTGATGGGGAAACAGGTACGGCAGAAAGAAGGGAGACAGACAAGAACGAGCAGCAGATTAGCTTTTCCATCTTAAGAAAAGACCTCTGCCCTCCTCTGGAGACTTCTGAAAGATGATGGGTGTTTCTACCATCCCATAACTATGAAGGATTGCTGATGGAAGGTAAACCTGACCCTTTTGTTCTGTGTATCTTTATGCTTTGAAACTCCTTCTGAGAAAGATAGAATTTCTGCAGGATCTGGGGGACAAAGCCAACAAAAGATATATCATCCCAGGAGGAACAGGGTGACTGCTGTGTGTTAGACCATGTTTCCACAAACTTAGATGAAGGAGTTGCAATGAAATGAACACCAGCAGCTCTAGCTGTATGGAAATAGCTGATATGTGAAAACTTCCCATGGTTTGGAAGCCGTATTACTTTGAGACTGGATGTTTAGCCACTGAGCTTTGATTCAGCCAAACTGGAAGTCATAGGACAAATTTTCATGGTTGTAGGAAAACCTTAAATGGCAAGCATCTGTCTCAGTGCCTTAGCTGCAGAAAAAGCCTGCTAGGAACAAGGAGGAGAAATGAATGCAGTGCAGTGCAGAGGAGCCAGGTGAGTGCTCCATCAGTGTGGTCAGTAAATCTTACACACAGCTGTTAGTATTAAAGAGGCTATATTTTAGTGCAAATTACGGAAGCAGTTTGTACAGTGGTATGGTCATTGTTTCAGTATATCATGGGAGGGATGTTGTTGATAGTGGCTCACAGGACACATGGGACTTACTGCGATTCTTAGTGTCTTCTACCTTGTAACTATTTCAATCCTGTTTTTGCCTTCTAGTGCTTCAGTTATTAGGCCTGTGAAATGAGGATGATGATGCTTGCTTCACAACAGAGGTCCATATAACCCTGATAAGGGAACAGTGCTGCACAAGAGGTGAGGTTTTCTACTTTATTAGTTAGAGAAGCCAAAGGAGAAATCTTGAGGCTTTGCCTTAGGACTTTAGTCTACCTGGTAATTAACTTCTAAGAAATCATTTAGCTAGAGGTCATTTAACTACAAAGTAAGAAATAGAAAGAAAAACATGAGAAATTACCTTTTAATTTTTTGAAGTGTTAAAATGTGAGTTTTTTAATATCACGTTGTCATGGAAACGCTGCTGGACTTGAAACTGCTGACTTCTCTAGCCAGACAGAAACTTGTAGTCATCAGCAGCCAGTAGGACTTCAACCTATGCTTTTAGCAAGCTTTATAATTAAGTTTATCCATGGTATGTTAAGCATATTTTCACAGTTCTGGCAGAAATGTCCTGTGAGAACAAACAAATCTGTCTGAAAATAGCCTTCAGAGAGGCAAAAGGCTTCTGAGAAGTAGCAGTGAAAACTCTTTGTCATCCAAAAAGACATGAAGTCCCTCCATGCATCAGAACTTAACTGCAGTACAGCAAATTTGCATGGTAAGGCTTTCAAGTGACTGAAATACAGAAGTATTATAACAAGTGAATAGCTTATTTTGTCCTGGGCTGCATGAAAGTGACCCCATGCTGCTGCCCAGTGTCAGTGCAGCTGGCTCAGAAGCCCACAGAAGGCAGCCCCTTCCCATGGGAGCAGAAGAAAGTATTCAAGAAGCTTTTTGCAACTTTTCCTTTATGTGTATGTAAATTCAGATATGTGTGTGTGTGTATGCTGCAGTGAACGCTGAACTCTGCTCCCCCCTCCCCTCCTCAGCCCTATTTGTGAGGAGACCTCTGTGCCAGCATGTCCCCCTATTTTTGTCCTCTTTTCACCAGCTAAAAAATGGAGGAGGACATGGGACCCAACATGAACCAGAGTATTATCTTTCAAGATAATAGATTCAATTGTAGGTTTGCTTCAAAATTATCACAGAGGTGTCTCCAGCTCTCCAGGTTCTCTGGATCTGGTGACCACATAAAGATATGACCATGGCAGTAGTCGCTCATATTCTTACGGAATCGACCAGCAGGGAGAAGTAGAACATGTTCTTTGTCAAAGCAGGAGCCACATCACAGGAATCATGTTGTTGCAAAGTCCTCACACAGTCAGCTGATATTGGGGAACTCCTTTTCATCTAATGTGTCTGGGGGGTATTCCAGTTGCTTCAGTCTAAGGAAATCCTGATTAACCTCAATGCTGTTATTTTCAGATTAAGTCCGCCTGTTTTCTTGAAGGTAAAAGTAAACTCTCCATTGCAAATGAAAATCTAATGTCAGGGATAGAGCCTGATGTAGTACTGAATTGTCTAATCTCAAATTTTGTGAATGTGAAGGTCAACAGTAGCATCTTGGGACAGATCTTATTATCAGCTCTACTGTGACACCAAGGGCAAGGCACTGAATCATGTATAAGTTTGTTTGGAAGAGGCTGTATGTTGAAAATATCAGCTAACAATTTCTTATGTTGTGGTGAATGAATATGTGGATAATTTGGGGCTCATAATCCTTTCTACTGGATTGTTACCTTTACAGGAAGGTAAGGAGGAAATTCTGGTACATATGGGGAGATGTTTGTTCAGTAAAATGACTTTCAGTGGTGGGTTGGTCACTTGGTTTTCAGATCCAGTGTCACTACAAGTGATCACAAGTTGCAAGAAACTGCAAAGAATTCAACCTCGACAGAACAAGGCAGAAAATCTCAAAACGTGGGATTTCTGAGTGTATGTTCCTGAGAGAAAAATTGAATATGCTGGACTAAAAGAATCAGTTAATTCCTTAATATACTGATATTACTAGTGAAATTATCCTAACTGGCCAATTTGCAAGAGCTCATCATTCAATGAAATGCCTACTGGATGGAGTAAACAACCATCATTTTCTTGTTGTTTTGTTTTGGTTTTTTTTTGCAGGCTTTTTTTCATTGTTTTGGTTTTGGGTGGGTCTTTTGTTGCCTATGTTTTTCTCAGTTTGAAAAATAAAACATTAAATATCCACTAGAGGTAATTTTTTTTGGCAAGGAGGTTTGCAATTCATTGTTTAAAGTGTTTTTCCAATTACTATTATATGTCACTTTGGTTGTGAGTATGATGCTGGAAGTTTGTTTTTGCAGTCTTTCTGGAAGAGAAGGGGCTGAACATAAAACAGAGGGTGTTGAGGCAAACCAATGCATTCCTGTGAATCAAAAAAACGGAGGGGGGGCCAGGACTTGGGGCTCACACTCTGCATGTATCATCCAAGGCAGAGGAAGACTAGTCTGTGGCAGCTTGATGCTGAAACGCTTTTTTCCCCATCTCTGCTACAAGACAGATGATGTTATTCCTTCAATACATGTAGAAAGTGAGATAAACATTTTTGGGTGGGAGTAAGACAACAAGGAAAGATAGGCAATGGGATCTTCTCTGGTAGGACATGATAAACTCTCTGGAGCCAGAGGAAAATTGCAAGTTCCTACAAACTCTTGACACAAATTACAGCTGTAAATAGGGAAGACAATCTACAGGTGATGTCATTACACGTGAAGTCAAGTTGGAATAAATGATCCTAATTTTCTCGGGGAAATCACACTTGCATCACAAGGGGAGTCTCATGGTATAGGTTTAACAGTGCTAGACTTGTGAAGGGATCTCTTCTAGACTTGCTCATTAAAACCCTGCAGAAATTCCCCTATGAGCTAATTAGAAAAAACCCCACAGCATTCTAAACTTTGCCAGGTCACCTCTTACATATAAAAAGGCCTTGACAAATGACACGGAATTTACATGTAAAGCATGACTTTTCTCTTCCTTGAAGTTTAATATTTTCTGCTAGTGGAGTGAGGAAATCCTTTGGATGGCCCAGTATAGCAAATTTGAAATCCAAAAATATGCCAGGGACACCATTTTTCTTGTGAAGCTGTTGTGTGTAATTAAATACAAAATTTTTGTTTGAAGATGCCTTCTGGGCAATAGCAGTAGTGCTGGCCCTATGAAAAGTCTTTAGCTGCGCTGTTTGCATACTACCTTATCAGTAAACGTTTTATGAGTCTTGCAGGTCTGCTGCAGACTGACAAGTCAGTTTCAGAGTTGTGGCCCTGTACAGCTATCAGTGTGATGGCTGTAAGTTGTCAGCCCTTCTCTGTCTCTTGTCTGTGGGTTCAGTTGGCCTTCTACCATTGCCTATGTCAAGATCTCAATGCCTTTTTCACATTTGCCCCTTTCATGCTAATAGGCTACAGGAAAAGCAATGTGGTTCCTAATGAGGTGGCAATAAAAGCTGATACAGAATTTTCTAAGGAAGAGAAGACTGAAGAAATATGAAGCTTAAACAAGACGAGTAGAAGATAGAGAAATATTTTGCCTCTGCTCCCTCACTGCAGGCAAACTGGTACTACTTTTTCCGTTGTTGTTTTCTTGGTGAGAGGACAGACTCACTGAATATATGCACCTTTAATAAAATCGATTACTTGGGATTGGTATAATTTATTATTAGAAGATTTATATTAATGTATGTTAATATCTATTTTGTTTGATTTTATTTTGTTCTATTTTCTTAGATTTTATCTGTGTGCACTTAGGGACCATTCCTATTCATCTGATTTCTCATTTTATCACAGAACGAGTCTCATTGTAGTCTGTGGGATTACTGGAATTGTACTAGAGAAACTTCTATGTAGGTCTATTAGGCCCATTTTTTAATGTACTTCAAATGTAAGCCTGCTCAACAAAAGACTACAATAACAACAAGAAAAGCTCTAAAATAGTTTGTTCCTGTGCCAATTAATTTCTTATTATTTACATAGCAATGTTTTGCTTCTATAATTTATTTTGCTGAAATTGTAGTATAATAATCATAATCATAACAACTAATATAATAATTCCAATGGTTTTATGCAAGAATAGGATTTGTATTCTCGTTTTTCTAAGGAGCCATGATCTTCAAGTAAGGTGACTTCTTCCGATTGCATATGTTACTCCATGTCATTCAATAGGTTCCTTATTGCTGAGTGGAACTATAAAAATTCAGTTCCTTGGAATTTTAAGTAGGTGTAAAATAGGGACTCCACTGGAAATGTTCAAAATTGCTTAGGTTTTGTCTTCTCAGCAGTAATTGGCTCATTATTTTGTCATGCTGTGCCTGCCTTTGACTTGCTCATCCTCAGTACTTTGAAAATTAGGCTTCAACGTCTCTAACTGGATGCTCCTCATTATTTCTTGCTTTGGAAATGCTAGTCTGATCATTGTGTCTCAACCTCTTCCTGAGACCAGTAAGGATGATCTCTAATGCTGTATTTTCCCGATTTTATCCCACCATGGATATCGATTGTGCTTTCATTTGTTTCTTTCATATGCACGTGTGGCAGGTGTTTAGCATTTTTTGCTTTGTGCACTTGGATCTGCAAGATAAACATGATGGATTTGTCTGTCTCACTCTTTCTTCATGCTCAGTGAAAGTGTCCTTGTACCATTGAGTACTTTTTTCACCTCGCTGGGCCGCAACAGAGCTTGCACAAGCAATCACAACACTAATGATGTTCTAAGAAATAATTGCAGAGGCATTCTACTTATAGAAAAAGTAAAAAAGATATTTTGTTCTGACTGTGTTTGAGGCAAGGCAGTCTCACTCATAATTTTGCTGTGGACTCCTTGGAGCCTCTGACTTCAGCAAGCTGGATTGTGCTCTGCTGTGACTGTTATTCTGATCTCTTTAAGTGCCTGATTGAGAGATACATGTTTTGAAGGTATAGAAAGCCTGAGTGCCTCTACTGTAAAATTCTTTATTCAGTGAGGCTTATGAAATATCTCTGCTGTTCCTCTGTATTATAAACCATGTCTAAATTTATTTAAGGTGATATTGGGCAGCTTGCACCTAGCAAGGTAGCAACCTTGGAGAGAAAGTGAATTACGTAAGAGTTTATTTTCACAGAATGATGCTTTCTTGCCCCTTGTTATTCATTTTTGATCCACATTGTTTTGTAAAGAGAGAGAGAATCTGTTTGTGAATTGTCTGTGGGTTCAGTTACAAAGTACTTGAAGATGGCATCTGATTTTGGTAGAAGACCTAGTACCCTCTGCATGGGCTCCAGACTTTAAAGGGGAGGATGAAAGAGAGGCAATGCTGTTGTGACTAATAAGTCAGTCATGTTACTGTTGTCAGATATATGAACTGTCAACCCTATTGCAAGACCTTGGCAATCAGGCTGACATTAACTGCAAAGTCATTACTGTGTCTGTAATCTGTATATATTTCGATTGTCCTCGTTGCACAATCTTGTATATACCATCCGTAAGAAACATATATAATTATTTTCCATATATGAGAATGTTGCCACATTTTAGAAATAGCTCTCTTTGTAGAAACACACAGTGCACAATTCAGAAAAAATGATGCCTTGTCTCATCCAGGCTTTCCTTCCTACATTCCTCCACACACGGAGAAAATATCAGGTTCAGTCCAAGCTGGTTATTTTCCAAGTAAGTGTAAGTTAACCTATGCTGCCTTGAATGACATTTTTCCTTGAAGTTCTGTTAGGAGAGTGATCCTGAAGGTGTGCTCAGAGAGCATGATCCACCTGCTTAGAGTAAGGTGGAGGTTGTGAGCAGGTAGGCAGTCATTACTCTTCAAATTTCCATGGACTTCTAGGCCACTTCCCTGAAAAGAAGGCTGATTTTTGTGCGTGGTGTGTGTGCAAGCAGCTTAACTAAGAGCAGCCTTGCAAAAGCAGCGAAAAGGATCTTTTTTTTTTTTTTTTTCCCTTTTCCTTTCAGCTTCTAAGCATTGTATTTTATTATGACCTTGCCTGTTAAACCCCTTTTTCTCCCCAGGAATCATAATTAGGCAAGCTGAGCTTATACGCAGTAAGGCTTTCTTTAAGAGTTTTGTTGTCAGAGAGGAAAAACACCCAAAATTTGGAGGGGAAAAACCGCATGTACGTGATCGTGATGTACATGGTCCTGATGAGCTGGCAGGTCAAGAGGCCCCTGAGGAGCCAGGGGTCCTGGGGCAAGAGGGCAGGGACAGGCAGGGCCCCTTTTGTTCAGCCTACTCACCAGCTCCCTCCCGTGGATTAGCCAAGATACTGCACGTCTGTATTTTTCTGTCGGTATCTCTCTGTTGAGATCCAAGTAGACAAGAAAAAAAGGTATTAAAAGGCATTACGAGTTCCTGAGTACATTTTCACTAACGTTATATTCTTTTTTTTTGCAAAAATATCAAAGACTTGCTATTCGTTGCTTAGAGGAATCAACAGATGCTCTCAAAATGTGTGAAAGAGCTATAATGAAAGGCTATGTTATGATTAACGGAGTTGTCTTTATTCAATATGTATTCTGTTTTCTCTTAGGCATTGAATACAGCACCACATTGACAGATGTTAAAGCAACTGGACTATGTTGTTTGGTAGAGGTAGTGGGAAGGGAAAGAGGAGACAACAATCATTAAAGATGCTTTTGATAGAGTTTTCTTCATACTTAGAAATATAAATGGACTGTAATCTATGTCATTTTCTGACTACATCAAACACTTGCTGTGGAGAAAAAGAACTGTTCGCTTGAAAATGGTATTAGCAGTGCTCTAAATTGCTTTGCTTATGCTGGAAACAATTAATAATTATTCTTTTTTTTTTTTTTCTTTCCCATCATCATAGCAAAGTGAAACTTCATAAAGGAGAAGAGTGAGGAATTTTAAAACAAAGACACATAAAGGACATCATAAATTGATTATTAAATAATAGCAAAACATATTGCTGGGCAGATGCAACATAAGACACCAAAACATACCAAGTCTTGACTAACTGTGAATAAATCACAATCTAACCTTTTTATGAACGCTGCTATCGGCTAAGGAATTGACTTTACAGAGGTGTGTCCATTTTTGTGCTATGGAAATAAAGCTGTAATTGTAGTCAGTGTTTGGCAGCTAGCTAGGATGCAGTTAGAATTCCATGAATCTGAATCCTTTTGTAGGACACCATTAAACAGCTGGTTACTGTGGAGCGGATTCCTCACAAAGAAGTTGTAGTGCAACAAGCTTTCCAGGGACGAATACAGGCTCTGAGTAGATAAGGCAAGGGAATTAAAATTAATTGAAAGACCATTGTGTTGTAAAGCACATGGATTTCAAGACCTGGGATAAAGGATCTGGTTTAATTGCTAATGAAGTGTTTAAGTGGGCTAATGAAGGAAGAGTGTGTATGTAGGTATGTACACTTGTTACTAACAAGAAAAATCATAGTTTCTACAGATTCAATTGCTACAATAGACAAGTTTATATATATGTATCTTCAAATGTAGTAAATATTGTACTTCCAAAATTGTGAATTATAGCTACATAATCAAACCCATCAAGAGTTTTGAGTTGCATAATTGGTCTTCAAAAGCTAGTAGCTTCCAGAAGTAGTTTCCACTGAACTTTTATTCCTTTCTTTTCTACATATATATTGTTAAGTTGTTTTTAATTACAATGCCATGTGATATTTTCTTACACAGGATCAGATCATTGATTTCACAGAAATAAACAGACCTGAAAAGACACAGATAATAATGTGATGTTATCTCTGCACAGCATTTCCAGTCAAACATTCAGATCTGCATTACAAGCACTGGCCTGCTCCAAAGCAGTGCTTTTTCTGAATTGGCATTTATGGTTCATAAAAAGCAGAAAAAAAATACCATGAAGGCACTGGTAACTGTCAAGAAAGGCTTAAATTTTAACAGCTGTATTTATTTCCTGTTCTTTTTGTTGGCCATATTCTACCTGCTGTGAGAGGACCATTACGTGTCTCTCAGGGTAGAAGAGGAACCCGTAGAGACTGGCTGCAGCGGGGAAGGTCACTTTCCTTACTGGAGTACCAGTCTAATGGCTGTGCCTATGGCTCGGTTAGGTCATTCAGCAGCAGATGAGCAGCTCTTGCCTCACCACTGCGTGCCCTCAGGACTGGGAAACAGACTGACAGCTGTTTTGTGATCCCCCCTCTCTTCTGATACCCTTCTACCCACAACTTATTAAATTTCTAAACAGTTTAAGGGGAATTTTAAAGTTCCTCATGGATGTTTTGCCAGCATTTTTTAAATTCAACAAAGCAATGTATTCTCTAGTCCTGTTCTTAGCAATAAAAGAACACTTCCAACAAAATTTTGACATTAAAATGAAGAAATTATCAGTCCTTGACAGACAGCTGGTATATACAGTTTCAGCTTGGGTGACTGAATTTATATAAAACTGGAAAAGCTGAAGGTCATCAGAACAGGGAAAGGCATGCTAATTTAGCAAGTGTACCAGTCCCCAGCATATAGTTTTGGCCACTATTATTTCTCTTAATGTCTTTACAGTATTTTAAAAATTTATTTTATGGAACAAGCTTGTAGCGAGAATGAACATCTTAGCGTGGCTGTAAAGTGCTCTAAGTGCAAGGAGTAGCAGGTGAGAGCTGTGGTATTTGAAAGAGCTGATGACTTGACAGAAAATAACGGTGGGCCAAAGCTGCTTAAAGAAAGGTGGAGACAGATGTGTTGGACTTCGCTAAGACGATTTCTGAAGGTTAGGGGATGCACATCCATCTTTACCCCTGGCACTGCAGTGGCCTCTGCTCAGCTCTCTACACCAATTACTCTTAATCTCACAAGAAAACACTGTACCAGAGAGTGGTGTGCATGGCTGAATTTGACTCAGGCTGACATAAATTAATATTGCTTTTGCAAATATAGGGACATTTATTTGAGGTAAACTTTCCTTATATTTATTAGACACCAATCAAAATTCTATGGATGGGAAAAGAGGAGAAAGGTCAGTACTTGGTAAACTTCAGTCTATTTGTTTCTAAGCTACAAGTAGGATCATAGTGTGGAAGCGAAGGGGAGTCTATGGCATCCTTTCTGCATCCTTCAGCTGCCTTTGTGTGGATCCCGTAAGGTCAAGGCAGAAGTGCAGCTTTCTTACTCGTAGGGAAATAGTAGATACTGTCTCAAGGCTGTTTGGCTGTTACCTGGCATCTAAAATGGCTTAGAGTGGGCGGGCAGGCTTATTCTGCACTGGAACATTTAGAAGGAGGTATCACCTTGCAACATGCTGCTTTGTTTGAAGGCTGTAATTTAATTTATGTGACAAGGGAGGTATTAGTCCCTAGCTGGATTTCCTGATCCCCTTAACCTGACTGAATGATAACTTACAGAGTGGGAAGGGTTTTCAATTTTTTATTTGTAAATATGACAATTTCAGGAAGATGTTGAAGATGAAACAGAAGGAAGGGAACATAATGCATTAGCTAAGTCAGTTTACTTTTACTGTGGAAAAGCAGACCTGGGTAATATTCTTTGTCTGCCACCTCCCGCATTGCATCTTGTGCCTTACGGTACCAAATCAGCTGAATGAGGACTACTGAGTGAGGCTCTGCATATCAAATGTCTCTGTGCTTCAGCAGAAGGAAAAAAGAAGCCAAGGGTAGCCATGCTCAGTTCTGTAGTGACAAAAATATTCTCCTGCCTGTTGCTGGCTCAGGTGTTCTGAGAACAAATTGAATGCATAGACTGGGAGCCAGTGTGGAAATCAAAAGTCTTGTAAAGTAAGTTTTCCACTTACAACTTCTGTCTTTCAAGAGAGAAACTCAGAAAGTTAAATCCATTAACTTTCTGTTTTATATATTGTGGCTTTTGAAGCTCAGCACCCACCATTCAGTAGGAATAGGCTGGAGGCTACTTATGAGGTAACAACTGGACTAATTTTTGACCAAAATCAGGGTAGAAGAGCTCATCTTTTTAATTCATTTGAAAAAGCTTCTGTGGAGCTTACCTCTGGAACATTTTTTGTTATTCTGTTTCCAGAGGAGGAGGTTTAACTGATCCTGCATTCTTGTTTGTGAATGTGTGTGTGCCTGTTTGTTTCGCTCTCTTCTTGGAATAACTTTTGCGCCTTGAGGATCCCAGCTACATGACAAGACAGTCTCAAGACATAAAATTCCTGCAAGAGCCATGATGCTGCATGTCTTTGTGAGACAGACATCATCGGAGCCCTGCTGAGGAAACAATGTAAGACACAGATACATAAGAAATGAAGCTTCATTATTTACTCAGATCATCAAAATTCTTGGGTTTGGATATGTCAGTGGCATCCTCTTCTCTCCTTTGATGTACTCTATTAAGAGGAACCCCATTAGTAGTTTACTTTGGCCCTTGAAGAAATTCATTTGATGCTGGAGTGGGGTTAATTTTTTTCTTCCTCCAAGCACTGTTTCCAATACGGCAGTCTTGCCTTAAGCATTTTCCTTGTCTTCAGCACTACTTATTTTTTTTGTGAAGTAACAATTATTTGGGCTGAAATTATCAACTCAAACTGTTCAGACATTCAAATCTCTTTTTCAGTGTAAACATGTAGAACCCTAATTTATGGTAATTTAGAGCTCTACAAATTATTTCTGTGAAGTAAACAGAGTTCTTTGAGTAGCTCATAAAAGTATTGCTCTGCAGAGTTTTGCTTCATGCTATGTTGACTCTGACCTACCTTGCAAAACATTTTGTTTCATAAATTTTGCTTTCATGTGCGGAATGTTCATTATAATTCATCTGTTAGTATCATTTAAATAAGATTGAGTCATCAACATTTCTAAACTATATTGCAGACATGGAAAAAAATGCACTTACATTTAAGGTCATTTAGAAATCTTTCTTTCTAATAAGCTTATGAACAGAATTTTTTCTGTTGTGTGTATGTGAGCGTGAATGTCAATGTGTTTTCTAGAGCCTTGTAAATCAAATGCCATTACCTGTATCTCAATTTTTTTTCCCAAACAGTTGAGTCCACCCTCTGTGATCGGAAGGACTGGCTGCTGCTCAGAAGGGTGGTAGCACCCATCACTGGCCAATGCAGCTGCTGCTGCTAGAAGAGGAAGATGACAGTCACTTTCTACTAATGATACAGAGTAGTACGGCAAAATCGGTGTCTGAATTTGTGCCTTGGAGCTAGGCTACACCTTGGGAGTGAGTCTCCTGATGGGATTTGTATGAATGCAGATCCTCATATGTTATCATGCCCTTGCTCACAGCCCAGAGCTACAATCACCCTTTTTTCGGTTTTGTCCTTTTTGTCCAGGCGCCACTGGCACACCTGGCTGGTCAGTGGCATTGACCCTCAAAGTCCCATTCCAGGAAGATGGTTGCACAGTACCCTTCTGCAAAGGGGTGAAATGCAGGGCAGAGAGGCAGGAGACAATATTACAAGTTTCATACAAACTATTTAGGTGGAGATTTTCCTAAGTACAGGCTGGACAACATAGCCCTTACCCAGTCAGAATATAACTCTTTTGATGCAACATCAGAACAACTGTGAAGAGAAGGGAGAAAAACCTGTTCTATTCTTAATCGGAGAGATGATGACAGCATAACATCCCAATGCAATGACAGCAGAGGAATGGCTTGCTGTTAAGTGAGAGATTGCACTGAGTATGTGCAGACTGGGCTTGTATGGCCCTGGATGATGAAGTTACAAGGCAAAGTGATTAGACTGTATTAGGGAACAAAATGTAAATAATGTGCTGTGAAGAATAGTGTAAGTGAGAGTATATTAGGAAAGGAAGCAATGCCAGATAGCAGGAATCAAGTTAGCAACCATTTTCTAGATTTAGTACCCAGCAAGGTGACTAAGCACTGGCTTTCAGATATTTTGTCAGTAGTCTGAACATTATTTTAATTATTGATTTACGTTTTTTCTAACAGTGATTACATACATGCTATGAATTTAAACCAGAGGATTAAGAACATGTCAGCACTGGCTGTATATGATAAGCTTGTGCCTTTTTCATAACAGGTGGTCTGTAATAAAGCAGAGTGAAGATGTAAGTCATAAACCATAATTTTAAAAGTGGTGGTTAGGTTTTTACTGAATATTTGGTGTAGGAACCCAAAGTATTTTTCATTGATCAGAGCAATTATGCTGCTCAACAGGGCCCTGGTGCCACAGTGACTAGTGTGCTCAGATGTCACTCCTGATAACTGGTCAACTAACCTGTACTCTCAGCCTCATACAGGCACTTTGTATCTGATTTGCAATAAGAGTTATGGAGGATGTTATGTCTGCCTTTGGAGAAGGAAGAATGCCCCCAACGCACTGCCCTTTAACAAGATAGAGTTTGCTTTCACAATGCAGCACTGACAAAGATCTTTTCTATGGTGGCTTGATGTGTCCATCCATTCTGCTGTGCAAGGAAGTCCTGCATGCAGCAGACAACCTTGCTGGGGAACTCTTTAAGGAAGAGGTGTTGAGAAACAGCCTGCATCACCCTCTCTGAGGAATCTGTTGGGACAAAAGCGTGTTGAAGTGTCAGAAGACT